TTTTTATAAAGATGATTGTACCATGAGTTGCCTGGTACACATTCAGTCCTTAGACTAGTGATATATATATATATATATACATATATATATATACTTATCATCACATATTCTACCAAGACCATCAGGTCACGTTTGTTGCAGTTAGTAGCACCTAACCCACTAACAAAACATTGAATCATAGCATTGATTCTTCATTGGACTGACTCTGAAAGAGCTGTCTATCCAATGGTCACCCGGTGTTGCAAACAAGGTTATTGTGACGAAAATACACGTCCTGGATACAAGTATATGAATGAACTGACAAAGGACTACCGGATACGCATGCCTGAAGAGCGGCAAGAACTGCGAAACCGGTCGTGTGCCTCCAGGGAAATTTTGTCCAGTCATCCACATACTACTTATTATTAAACATCAGCCCAGAACATAACATGTAAAATGACAATTGGGCGTCATTTAAATGAACAAATAGTTTCCAGATTGTATAAAACATACTGAAATCATGAAGTCTCTATATCAATTCGCGTCTTTCTAGGGAGTTCTACGCTCACTTGGGCAACCGAGTAGTATAACACCTTAAAAAAGCCATGGACTCAAACAGTCACGCATGCCTCAGACCTAGGCACTCACATGTGAAACTGCAAGCAGAACTTTCATTTACTCCGCAAACACAACACCTTGTCACTATCTACTCTGTTCCGAATGTACAAAATAGCTCATCACAGCCGAAGATCTAATCACGTCTGGAAGGTCAATGGGCAAAGATCAGATAAAGCTCAATTTTACAAGGACAGTTGAATGGGCACGTCACGACTTCCTTTGACTCTCTCGCTCTTGGAGGGGTCACTCCAGCAAATAAACACGGTGAGGGGCAGTTTACCGGTCAAAACCCCCAATAGATGGATACAGGAGCGGGTTACCTGGGCTTCCTCTCGACGATGGAAGAGGTCTTCGCGTTTCATTGGACAGCTACCACCCGCACAAGCTGGGCAGCCCCCTGCCAATAAGGTGCTATCCCATCCAAGTTCCACTTGTCTCATTTTGTGCATGAAACTAAGGGCCAGTCCCGAACAGTGGACCGACAATCAGCGCACCAGCGAACGACACATCGAACCGAAACCCAAAGGCCTTGCGTGACAGGACTGCAGAAGTTCTCACACGGGTGCTCCGTTCACGCTCCCGCGTTGGATTTACGCCCCAATGCCTTGTGGTTCAGACGTTTGAGGGCTCTGGTTAGGGTTCCCAAAGAAAAAATGTTCGCCGGTGTGAGCTACCGCGAAGTATGTCGTGTCCTAAAGTTTTAAG